TATATATATATATATATAGTAAACTGTAGTAAATTATCAGCGGACCTAACAATAGGTTCTCTATGAACGATGTGGTTCATGATGTCCATCTGTGAGACATTATTCAGTAGTAATGTTGTAAATATTGATTACAATAGTATTTTATCTGCTTTATAAATTATTTACTAAGTAAGTATGTCGTGTATCCCTGCAACAAAATTCCCTTACAGCGAATTTTTTAACTCCCCATTAAATTTTAGTCGGAACTTCTCTCGGACCGTTATCTCCATATAACGAACTGATTGTCTCTTAGCAACAATTTTTTTATATGTTTACAATTTCACCTTTTATCATTTTTGGAATTTTTTAGACTTCAATTATTTGATTTTGTTATTTTTGAAGAAGGTAGCAATTATAAGTCAGATCTTCTGTGCAACCAATTCGCTCTCCCATGTGTCTATTTTTGTGCAGCCTGACGCCTTATTCATTCAAACAAAGAAAATTATTTTAAACACTTCCTTTAATAATGTATATTATTTCATTTCTAATTAAAAATAGCAATTATGTTTTTTATAAACTTATCACATATACTAAAAAAATTTTATTCATCAAAATATTTTAAAAAACCGCAAAAATACGAAATTTTGGTAAACTATAAACGAACTACCAATTTATCATCTGTTCATTAAAATTGTACGAAATATCATAAGTTCGGACTGGACCACTGAAAAGTTCAATACAACCGACTCTATCCCACGTACTTTACAGCCGGGTTAGACTTGGAAAATTATGAAGATTACAATAATAAAATGACAATATAGGAAGAGATAGGACTTTTTGGTATTTATTTGAATTTTTAAGAAATATTTAGAAAATTATTTTGTAAATGTAGAAGTGTTTAGTTCATGTGATGTTTCATATTTTACAATAAAGTTTGAAACTTTCAGAGGTTTTAGAGATCGACAATAAATTACGAATTTTTAATAAATATTTAGAAAACTGTTTTGTAAATATAGAAGTGTTTAGTTCATGTGATGTTTCATACCTTACAATAAAGTTTGAAACTTTCAGAGGTTTTAGAAATCTACAATAAATTACGAAAGGAAACAAGTATTTTTGAACGCATTACGCCAGAAAATCGAGCTTGTAACTTGTATCAATTACTTTGGTTGTTATTTTCAATACAATAAAATTACATAAAAGTTCATAAACCTATCTTAAATTTTTATGGAGTTAGGAACATTTTTATTGAAAACTCATTTTTTTGTCTAATGATTTTTTGCTTTATCTGTAAAAATATTTAATAAAATTAAAGAAAAGTTTTGGAGCAATTCGAAATTAGTCATAAAAATATTTTTGTTTTGAAATTTGAAAAAAAAAATTTAAAAAATTATTAAGATTTCAGTATTTAAAGTAGTTCTTTTGTACATGAGTGGAAAAAATTTAAAACTATTTTCTCATAATTTTGTAGTGAATCATATTTGTCAACTAACTGAAAAACTCTGACTTAAATATCTTAACATAAAAAGTTTCAAGCAATTTTCTAAGTAGTTTTTGTACTTTTTAAGAGACAGCTCAAAATAATCAGGAGTTTTTCACAAATTTGACTCTGTAGTATTGAAAATTACACTATCTTATAATAACCAGACATCAAAGACAAAGTTAAACATGTGAATAACCCTTATCGTTTTTAGCTTTCTTTTGAAAAATACAAAGACTACTAAGAAAATTGCTTCAAACTTTTTGTATTTTTGAGATATTTAAACCAAATTTTTTTCCATTAGTTATAATAAAATACGATTAACTATTAAATTAAAAAAAAATTATTTTTTTCTGCACATGTGCAGTACAGAAGGATTACTTTAAATACTCATATCTTGCACAAATTTTTTTTCAAATTTTAAAGCATTAATTTTTAAATAATTTTAAATTACTCCAAAAAAAATTTTAATTTTACTGAATATTTTTAAAATTATAGCAAACAAATATAAGAGAAACAAAAATAGTTTTTTATAAAAATGTTTATATCCCCATAAATATTTAAGATAGATTTACGAAGTTTTGTGTAGTTATTGCAAGTAATAACCAAAGAAATTGATGCAAGTTGCAAGTTTATTGCTTGATTTTCTGGTAGAGTTTGTTCAAAAATACTTGTTTTATTTCGTAATTTATTGTCGGTCCCTAAAGCCCCTGAGAGCTTTAAATCTCATTGCTAAGTATGAAATATCGCATGAATTAAATGCTTCTAAAATTACAAAGTAGTCATCTAAGTATTTTTTAAGAAATTCAGAAAAATATTAAAAACTGAAAGTGTCTCTTCCATTATAGTAGGGTATGGTGTAGATATTCATTTCAATTTAAGGAGAAAAATTCCCCTAAACCTACCATATTGTTTCAAATGTTAATGTTTTAGAATTTATCTCTTCTCTAGCTCCTCGGAAGAAATTCAACAATTAAAATAATTACCAAAAGCTCTCTCTAGAAAGTTTAAAAGATTTACTGCAAGAGGGTTTCATGACCCCCATCCCCTCACTCACTATTGGTCAAAATTGATCAGAGGATATTTGGAGAAAGAAAGGGAAATAAGAACTGGAATATCTAACATAGTAAAAATGATCAAGGTTTCTCAAATACAATAGCTAAGACCTGTATTTCGATGTTGCGATGAAAATGCTGTTAAAAAAATAATCTTTTAAGCACCAGAAGGAGAAAGATAAATAGGAAGACCTAAAGCAAGATAGTTAGATAGAATCAAGAACTAGTAAAAGAACTTGGGAGTTAATAGATGGAAAAATATAGCATCGAATAGATCTAGATGGGGTAAACTAACTGAGACTGTAACCAGCTGTAGTGCCTGAGAAGAGGAAGAAGTCCTAAAAGTAATGGAAAGTGATAAACACAGGGTGAAATAAAGAAAATAAGTTTAGAGTTAAAAAGGTAAGTTAATGAAGAAAAGTTTAATCGTTTATGAGAACAGTTAAATGCTAACATTTTGTTATCTATGCCAATAATGCTTGTTAAATTTTGGTTATAGGTACAAATTGAAAGAAAAAAAAGAGTTTTGTACTAAAAAACTAAATTAATGAAGAAAACGTTGACTTCAATCAATAGGATTATGCCGAATGGTACTGGAATTAATTAATCTTTATTTTGATGGGATGAATTTCTAAAGACATGTTTCGCTTAATCTTATAACACAAAGCTACCAAGAAAGGCAATCTACTATACATAATTCTCTTACGTAACTCCCAAATTTTGGCTGCATTTCTTTTACGCCGGTGGCAACATTTGCTTTGTTTTCTTTACGTTTTGAAAACACCAAAGCATTCTGCCTTTTAATGATGTGTTTCTGATCTAATAGATATAATTCTCTTACGTGGCTCCCAAATTTTGGCTGAAGTACTTTGTACAACTAAATAAGATTCTTTTCACAACACTTAAATATTTACTTTATTTTCTTCATATATCAGTCGGAAAAGAATTCTGTTAGGTTAAAAAACATTTCGCTAAAAAAATAACGAATTATGAAAGAAATAAAAATAAACAATTTAAAAAATAAAAATGCTGTTGCCGGCCATAGAATTTTTTGAAAGTTAACATAGCAACATGAATCAAAATGACATAGAAGCGCAACTAGATCAAAATTATGATAACTGAGCTCTTGACGTAACAAATCCTTCAATTCTATAAGTGTTGTATCGCCAAATGCCCAAATTAACAATTGAGTTTTTAAAGAAATTCTATAAAAAGTTTTAAATAAACAACCTACTTCTACAACTGCATCTTGAAGAACTTGGCTCATTGATTAAAAATATTGTTTTAATTTTATAGTACTAACTTTACTTCTACTTACATTGTTGCTATGACCCTATTTCATTACATTTTACAACTTCATGCTAAATTTGAGGACTTCAAGTTGTTTTGTGGTTGAATACTGACATTTAGAAATGTGTACATAAAAAAAATAATATTTAGAGGTTAAGAGCTGTCGCAGAAAAACTTTAATTGTTGACATTGAATTTAACAATAGAAGCAATCGTTTTTGTGAAAAATTGAATTGTATTGTTGACATCAAAACAAAAAATATTGTGTTTCAACTTAACAATACTACCTTAATTTATACTTTAGACTTGCCTCGGAGAAATTTGAATTGTTAGCAATGACTTAAACAAAAAGTTTTATTTTAACTGACAAATACTATATTATAATTTTAACTTTTTCTGTGACTATACTCATTTTCTTACTCTTTTCTTTGTTTTTTATACATTTTATATTTTTGTGATAAAATAAAAAACTTATAGTTGTTCTACTTCTGAACACTGATGAAAACACAAAATGATGGGCTTCATCAACAATCAAAAATATATACATTTATTTTACAAATTCCATATTATTAGGATGGCGCCCTTCAGAGAATTAAAAATACAAAACTATCTTCATCAAAGCCATTGCTTTACATCTGGCGTTCAGTGGCAGACTACTATTTCATATTGTTTTACAATACATAGCTTTAGCCCTCTGGTGGGAAAGACTTTAAAACAAAACTTACAACAGTTACTTTTCTCAACAACTGAAATTTAGAATAGTGTGATTAAAAAAAATATGTGAACTGTTTGNGGTTTCTCAAATACAATAGCTAAGACCTGTATTTCGATGTTGCGATGAAAATGCTGTTAAAAAAATAATCTTTTAAGCACCAGAAGGAGAAAGAAAAATAGGAAGACCTAAAACAAGATAGTTAGATAGAATCAAGAACTAGTAAAAGGACTTGGGAGTTAATAGATGGAAAAATAAAGCATCGAATAGATCTAGATGGGGTAAACTAACTGAGACTGTAACCAGCTGTAGTGCCTGAGATGAGGAAGAAGTCCTAAAAGTAATGGAAAGTAATAAACACAGGGTGAAATAAAGAAAATAAGTTTAGAGTTAAAAAGGTAAGTTAATGAAGAAAAGTTTAATCGTTTATGAGAACAGTTAAATGCTAACATTTTGTTATCTATGCCAATAATGCTTGTTAAATTTTGGTTATAGGTACAAATTGAAAGAAAAAAAAAGAGTTTTGTACTAAAAAACTAAATTAATGAAGAAAACGTTGACTTCCATCAATAGGATTATGCCGAATGGTACTGGAATTAGTTATTTTGATGGGATGAATTTCTAAAGACATGTTTTGCTTAATCTTGTAACACAAAGCAACCAGGAAAGGCAATAAATAATAATAAATAAGAAAATTGATATGTTTTAGCTTAATTCATTATGTCGATAGATATTTTTCCGTTTTGTGCGTGATTTCGTTGCGTCGATCAATACCGATTTTTTTTATTATTTACTTTTTTTACCCTGCTGGTAATTAAATAAACCAACAAAGGTGATTATAGTAGCTAAAAGCCACTATATCTCAAAAGTAAAATTGCTCCAAAAAAAAACGAATGATTAATTCAATTTTTTTTTAATTTCACTATTATCTAATATAAAAATGAATGTAATATAAATGAATTAAAATAAAAAATTAACTGTAAAAAATGAACCTTCAAATTTACATACATTCTGTAATCAAATCATGGATAGATCTGAGACCAAGTTTACCGTTTCATGCTGTACTCTAACAAGCAGCTCCACAAAATTCTGCCTGTTGGCTGTATTTTTCAAATAAGACCATGTACCTTGCACATCAATGTCCCCTTTCTTGATACGCAATGAAACAGAACCACTGATATCCAAGAACTCCCTGGCTTGTGTAGAAGTTTCAACTAGCTTGTACTGGGACCGCGTAAAACTTCTATCAATCACCTACATCATGCGTTGGAAAAAAATAAATATATTTCTTCAATATTTTAACCAATTTAACCGTTACTTGATTAAAAGGATTTCATTCGCTTCAAAAATATGCAGATTGGAAATAACACCCGACGTGTTTCAAGCGCTCAAAAATAGAAACCCATTTTCAAGACGTTCATTCACGTCTGACAAGTCTTGAAGATTGACGACTATTTTTGAGTGCTTGAAACATGTCGATTGTTATTTCCAATCTGTATATTTTCGAAGCGAATGGAGATTTTTAACCAAATAATGTCTCACCTCTTCAATTTATTAGGATTATTTATTTAATAATTAATTGGCAGTTATTTATTTAATCAACTATTATTTAATCAATTAATTGGTTTATCATATGTTATAATATAACAATAATTATAATAATTAATGATAATAATCCGAAGGTTAATTAATTTAACCGTTGTTTACATTATAATATAACTTTGTCGTTTGGGCAAGAAAGTTAAAGATATAGAATGCGACGAAAACAAAGCTCAAATTTGAAAATAAATAGAATTAAAAATATTTCGCATATTGAAAAAATTTAAATTGAATTATATCGACAGAATACAATTGAATTATGTCTCTAATCTACTGTGGAAGAAACAAATTTCACATTTTTTTTTTTTTTTACTGAAATTTTTTGTTGCATTGAGAAGGGCGTTAAGTTTTAGGTTATAAAATTCATTTATAGTGAAAGCTGTTAATTTGAACACCAAGTTGATCTTCTATCTAAGTTCATCATAATTATGAAATACCAAACTGGTTAAAACAATTTAATTAACCCTTTATAAGTTGACCACTAGTCTAAGTGAATCATCAAATTGTTGTCTCATAAGCGGCTAACTTACACAGGTTTCTCTGCGAGATAAAATTACCAAAGCAACAAACTATTCATATGCTCGTAGCATTCTAAATTTAACACGAATTGGCTTGTGAGAAAGTTATTGGAAACTAAGATATCACATCGCATATTATTAAAATTGTATCTTGGTCTCAAACAAAAGAAAAAGTTGTTGTTGTTGTTGTTGTTTCTAATGCCACTTGCCACACGGGCAAGCCTGCTTGGCGAACCGAGCAGATTTAAGGCAGAGAGTGCGTTTCTTGTTTTTCAGTGGTGCCATACTATGGCCAAGAATTTGTCTTCAGTCACACACACACGTCACAGCCCGTTTTATGGGGCGGATCCATTCACACATCCATTCATTCATCCATACATCTTAATTTTGACCTGAATCAGAGAACGATCGATCTCCAATCCAGTACCCCCAGAGGTATTGATTTGTTACGGGAACATGGAGGACTTTGCGACTCGACAGATCCAACTTGCATCAGTCACCATTTACTACACAGGAACAAGTTAAAATGATTTACGACTACATAATTACATATATCGCCTTGCTTCTTAAGTTCTTTAGAGTTTAAAAAAAGAAAGAGAATTTTTGCATTGTAGTAAAATAATATAGAACAAATTGTGCATAAAACATTAATAATTAAACAATCAGCATGGAACAAAGACTAATTTTCCTGAATAACTTAAGATCTAATGACCGGATCTTCACGTGCTAAGACTCAATTGTTATTCGAACAGGTGATCTCAGATGTATTAATAAATTAGTGCAAACAATATTTTAAGTTACGAAATCAGACGCAAAAACGTTCTTTCTCTGAAAAAACATGTTTTTTTTCCGATTGATTTGGATTTTATGATCTTCAAAATGTAGGGGTAGTCACAATCTGGGAAATGTGGTCCCAATAACTTGATCAGGAGAGCAAATAGTTCCTGAAAAATCCAATTTTAAATATACGACTTTTTTAAAATTTGATTTCTCTGAAACTATTGGACTGATTTCGTTCAAACTTTGTATTTTATCTCATAAAATTATGTAAAAATTTGTTTACCTTAGAATTCGAAATGTTTTCGACTATGATTAAATTTTAAAAAAAAGTGTCACCGAAGTCAAGCATCACTGGCTGTGGTCCGTGTGCGGTTGGGTGACCACTTGGATCAGTCTGCGTAGGAATCAAGGGTGTGCTGCATTGATCTTCGTTAAACTGTTCTACCGTGCAGTGCTTGACTTCGCATGCAGGTCGTCGGGCTACCGAAGCGGGAGTGCCATCATCTCTGCAGAGGATCAAAATTGTGATGGCGTATCTTCGGATCATCCTCAGGGATGTTTCCCAGACCGTCACCAATAGCAGATTGTGCAGATATAGTGCGACGTAAATGAACTACAACAACAGCAAATAAAATAATTATTGAAAAATATTTTTTGCGAAGAATCATCCTTGGATAAACAAATTTTATAAATATGCGCAAAAATGTTTCGATTCGCTTAAAAAATTTTCGAGATATGACGAAATACGCGAAAAGTAAAATTAACATTAAGGAGTACAGAATTCGGACCGCCCTCCAGCCCGAACTATAGGGACCAAATTTCACATGAGAATGTGGCTAACCCCTATATTTTGAGGGTTGAAAATCTAATTTCCTCGAAAAAAAAGTCATGTTTACAAAGGAAAAAAAACAATTTTGTATTTGATTTCGTGACTTAAAATATCGTCTGTACTAATTAATCAGCTTATTGCTAATTAATTAGTTTTTTAAGCACTGTACATCTATTATATTCCCGTATTTCACCTCATTCTGTGTGGTTAATTTATAGTACTTTTTATAGTACTGAAACGGTTGCCTATCTCTTTTAACTTTCCGCTTTTACATTTCGTTACATTTTACATTTCGTTTTGATAATGAGACTTTTCACAATTATTTTCGCTATCTCTCTTTTTTATAGTAAACTTGATGAGGAATATTAAGTACTAAAAGATCCAAAGAGCTGAATTATATCTAATGTTCTGTAACAAGACTCTTGAAATTTGAATAATTTTATTTTAAAAAATAAAATTGCAAAAAAAAAGTGACTGTAATTAGTATAATAGTATGACATGCCTACCTTAATAACTACCGTAAACCGGGGCGAGTCTACCCATTTTAGTTTTATTTAATTTTCACTATTTTAAATTGCAAATAAAAAAATTTTTACCGACGGAGGACTTAGTTCAGACTCTAAGGAAGATGGCGCTGTAGTAGTTTGATCCGTTTTTATTTATTTGGTGTCTTTTTA